CCCTGCCTCCCCTTCCCCCCCTTCCCCCCCTACTCCTTTGATTGACACCTGCTCTCCGCTGCTTGAAGCTTGAAGCATGAAGCACCAGTACTTGGGACCCTTTTGTGCCCCTCTGCGGGGTTCTGAATGCGTTTTATCGCGAATGAATGGATTGAACTGGGCACAGGCAGGCCCGTACATCTCTGAAAGGCCGGTGCATTAATGGGCACACCATGCTCGAGTACTGGTGTTTTATTATTATTAATATTTTTTTTTCACGGAAAGAGAACCCCAATTTTATTCTGGTGGTGTTTTAAGACTCATGAGCTTAAATCCTGTCTGACAGAATAACATAACATTAGGAACTGCCTGCTTCTTTAATTAACGCAAAAAGAAAAAGAAAAAACAGGAGGTGGACGAGGCTGTGAAAGATACTTGCTCCTCATGGCGGAATAGTGCAGTAGCAGCAGCGGCAAGTACTATTGATCGTGCCCTTTTTTTTTTTTTTCTTTTCTTTTTGGGATTGCTTGTGTTGCTCTCCACCAGTAGACCGGAGCTTTATGTTAAAAAAAAAAAAAGGGGGTACAACTCATATGAGTTTGAAGGGATAGCCCCTAATATCATCAACGAGTAGGGTTAAAAAAAAAAAAAAAGAGGGGGTACGACTCATACGAGTTCGAACTTCGAAGGGATAGCCCCTATCCTGTCTGACTCAATGATGATATTAGGGGCTATCACTTCATTTTGCGAGGAATGAGCCCTCGTGGGGCCCTTGTCAAACATGCACATGTTCTGGGCAGAGGCCCTCAGCAAGCCAAGTGCCCGCCCTAAGTGAAGGCGGGCCTAAATATTCACTAGAGGCCAAAATTTGACATTTTCAATATGTGGGTACTCAGGCTGTTGCAGCACGCCAGTTGGTTGAATGGAAGTGTGAGCCTCCCTAAGCTGCGTCGTACAGTTTGGCCCAGGCCTTGGTAGTTGCACCTGGGCACGTACACAATGCAGGGCCGATACATCACAGAGTGGCTACAGGCCTACGCAAAAGCAGCATTGTCGACGTGCATACCCCGGGTCCTGTGCAAATGCAGCAAACGGCCCAAGTCTGGAAACTCAGGACGTGCCCAACTGTAAAAGGCCCAGGCCCTCAATTGTAGCACTGGGCCTGGGCGCAGGCACTGGGGCCTGACCGGAAACTACTGGAAGCTTCCCAGCCAGGTCACACGCAGCCAAACAGAGGCTGCCACTTCCATATAGGGAAGAATGCAGCCAGGGTCTGGCATTCTGGCCCACGCAGGCATTGCGATCACGCTGCTGCGTTGCTGCACTCTCGGCTGCGTGCTGGGTTAGCGGCCAGGGCGCGTGCGGGCGCTTGTGAGATGAAGAGGGGCGCTGCTGGGCAGTGGAGCGCGTGCAGCCATAGCCGGGCTGCAGGGCGCAAGGGGGTAAGGGGGTGATCGGTGTCTTCGGGAAGGAGGCGAGTGTGGGTGGTCAAGGTCTGATGAGGGGAGATGAGATACGTACCTGGTACGTGACAGTGGTCAGCTATGGTGTTGACGTCATGTACATTGGTCTTCAAGAGTCGAAGTGAGCCTGTTGCGTGAATGCTGATGTAGGTAGGATAGGCAATGGCCCGAGGGCTTGAATATTGGCTCGTAACTTCATTGTATTGCTCTTATTTGGATGGAATCTCGTGCATTTGTGCTCTCTGCTTGTACACAACTACTTGGACATTTGTGTAATTTCGCAACTTGGCTCTGTATATCGTTCCCACTCCTATTCCTTGCAATTTCTTTCTTTGTTGAAAAAGGGGAGGGGGGGAAAAAGAAAAAGAAGCAGGATTCACAAGAGTAGGAGGTCAAGAGAAGTTGGCCAATATTTGAGAAATTGAGAGAAAAAAAAATGCATCCATGTATGTTTATTTATAATTCTTTTCCTGTCTGACTCAATGACGATATTAGGGGGCTATCCCCTATGCGCCCGTCCATTTACATTTCATTTCACTTTCTTTGTTGAAAAACGAAAAAAAGAGACGTCGGTCAACATTCGACAAGGGCAGGAGACGTTGGTCAATATTCAACAAGTTGTGGAGAAAGAAACACGGAAATTGTGAAAATTGCATCCGTGTTTGTTTATGTTAGCATGCAGAAAGGGAACCAGAATGAGGAGAAGAAAGAGCAACTTATATTCCACGATTCAGTTATGTGAATCTGGTGTCTTTTTGTGCTCAGATGCATGTACTTGAGAAGAAAAAGGATATGCAGGCCTCTCTCCCTCCCCTCCACCATTGTCACAAATCGACTCCCCCACGACCTGCTGTGACCAGTTCCATGGTACCTGACTAGCGTTTTCACACTAGGCATCCTGATTATGAGTGCATACAAGCTATTCTTCCGGTCCCATATAGTCACAATGAGGGCGTGTTGTGTTCGGGGGAAGACATTAGGCATACTTTGTATGGTTTGCCAGAGGAGGTCCAGAGGTATTGGAGGCTTAAGGAGGTATTATGCAACCATATCTTCAGGCTGGCCAAGAGTGATCTTGATATAGTCGATGAATGTGAAGTGTGAAGTGGGCAGTTTGTAGAGCAAAGACATACTTTGTTACTTTATGTTGCTAACAGAGGATCAACATGCATCACTGTATTTGTGCATGCATGCATGCACGCATGTGTGTGTGTGTGTGTGTGTGTGTGTGTGTGTGTGTGTGTGTGTGTGTGTGTGTGTGAGAGAGAGAGAGAGAGAGAGAGAGAGAGAGAGAGAGAGAGAGAGAGAGAGGGAATGACATGGTATTGTCGATTTGTTTTTTGGCAATGACAGGGTATGCCTGGTCCAACAACGGTTCAGATGGTCTTGGCACTGGGAGCATTGCGAGGAGGGTTTTCGGGTGCACTTCTAGCAGCGTTCCTCTATGTCTGGCCAGGCCTTTTGGTGATGTCAGCTGCTGTAAGTTTTTCGTTATGCTTAGCAAAACAATCCTGCTTCCCCCCCTCGACCTTTCCTTACGTCTATTCTTTGTTCTCTGCAGAAAACACCTCTGCTCTGGTAGCTGTGGGTCAGTGGAAGCTTGACAACGAGTGTCGATCTCGCGAAACTTGAAGCATCATCATTGGCTGAACTCCGATGTGCTTGTGGATACGTATCTGCAGTGGTGTGTGTTACGCGCTTTTTGTTTTTGTCTATGTTTGCGGGAAAACTCAAGCGATTATGTATATCTACTACATCGACTACATTGAGATGGGCCGTCCGATAAGCAGCGCGTTTTCCGGCATCTATTGACGGCGTGCCTGAAAATGTGACTGGGAAGGCGGTGGCCATTGGAAATTAGAGGCCACGCGCGACCGTTGTATTCTATGTTTGCGGGAAAACTCAAGTGATTACGTATATCAACTATGTATCGTGAAGCAGAACCTGCCCGGTAAACCGTAGGCAGAAAGGGAGAAGAGGACACCAAACGAGGGGCTCTGTATGCCTATACACTACGATACCTTTCCGGGAGCTTGGGCTGACTCTGGCTGCCCGGAAGGCCTGGCCAGGCAAGGTCCTGGACAAGGTCCCGACCAGAGTTCCTGCCCAGGTCCCAGGCAGGCCCGACGCAAAAGAAAAAAAGAAAAATCTGGAAAACAAAAATGTTGTGTAGAACTGCCATGCAAACAAGTTTTGGCTGGGGGTCACCTCAGAATTACTTGCTGAAAATCGAAGATAAAAAAGAAAATAAAGAAAATCAAACCAAGGCACATTTATACACCCATTAAACCACCATTGTCAGATGACCGATTTTCTGTCGAAGAAAATTTTCCTATTGAGCACGTACTGACTCTAAGAAATTTTTCCTATCGAGCATGAACCAAACCGGCCACAGGCCGGAGGCCGGTACATGGAAATCGCGGCCTCCGTATTCGGCTGCAAGCTCCAGACAAAGGGTCCCAGTACTGGTGCCTTAACCCCCATTCATACCCCCCTTCTCCTCCCAAATGGACACCACTGAAGAAGCGAAAGAGCCCGGATTTGGGATGCCAATGAAGAAGCGAAAGGGCCCGGATCTGGGCTTTCTTATGGTGGGCCAGCTACACTATGACAAGGCTTAGGTCCGAAGATCCAAAGGACTCATCGTACTCTGTTGAAGATTAGGTTCGAAGATCCGATGAACTGTGTCTAGGCTTAGGTCCGAAGATCCAAAGGACTCTCTTAGCTCAGTCGATTCTGGATTCTTCTTCCTAGGTACCCAAATATCGCATGGGTGCAGAAGGTATGGAGTACGAAGTCCTAGATGGGCATTTGCATGCGCCCATCAGGAAACTGTCGAGTACAGTGCGAGAATTGGTATTGTGTGCACCCACAGCAAAAAGTGGAATAGTCCCCATGGATCATGGTGAGAGATAATGACCGGGCGTTCCATTTGGCCGGAGACGGTAGGCTTAGGTTCAGAGATCCCATGGACTGTGTCTTGTCTAGGTTTGGATGTCAAGTGGGCTGTGTCTAGGCTTTTAGGTTTGGCGACCCAGGCTGAGGTTTGGAAATCCAATGGCTGTTATCTGGAGTCGATCTATAGGATGTGCTATCAGCTGTCGGATCTCTCCACGAAGACCTAGACACAAAGTCCAGTGGGGCCGTGATTGTTAGCCTCAGGCCAGGTTCTTCAACACCAACAGACCAGCTGTCCGTCTTTTTTCACCGTCTTAATTTTTGTTTATTTACTTATTATTGTTTTTGAACTTTAAGTCTTCCTCTTGATTGCTTGGTTTGCGGATTGATTGATTGATTGATCAGTTTTCTGATTGATTGATTGGTTTTGCTTTTTGATTGGCTGATGCAGGGAATCTTGATCAACCACGCAAGTAATGCAGGCAAACAAGAGCTTCCTTCTTGGTTTTATGAGGTGCGATAACTCTGTTCCTGCGCTGTGTTGTGGCGGATTGTACGCACAGGTGAGAGGATTGAGCCCTCAAGTAGGGGCCTTGCCATGATGTACATGTTCTGTCTCTTATACACATCTAGATGTGTATAAGAGACAGAAGTGAAGGCGGGCCAGCAAATCGACAAGAGCCCTCTGTGCAACATTTCACGAAGTGGGGTTCATACAGTTGCAGCACGCCAGTTGGTTGGAGTGCACCGAGTCTCGGATTTCAGCAAATGCTGAAAGCCCAGGGCCTCTGAGTTGGTTAGGCCCTGGGCATCTGAACGTGAGGCCGACAATGCATGCTGGGAAGAGAGGCCGAAAATGCCAAAGGGAAATCGGCCCACTGTCTGAATCTGGCCGCAGGCCTTGATGAAGGAGGCGCAACTGCCTTACCCCGGGGCCCAACTGTATCGAGTTGGCTTCAGCCTCTGGGCCCCGGTCACAGGCTGAAGGGAGGCCGCCCACACRCTGCACTGGCATATAGGCAAGCAGGGCGARGCAGCGGGGATCTTGGCCAATGCTGGCATATGCGGGCACGCTGCGCGGATGCAAGTGTGCAGCACTATGCAGAGCAGGCCCACACACTGCACTGGCATATAGGCAAGCAGGGCGAGGCAGCGGGGATCTTGGCCAATGCTGGCATATGCGGGCACGCTGCGCGGATGCAAGTGTGCAGCACTATGCAGAGCAGCGCAGCGCTAAGACAGAGCAGGCCAGCACTAGGCGGTAGGGCGCTGTCTGCATGCAGGGCACTGGCGGTCATAGCCGGGCCGCAAGAGGGTGCAGGGGAGGTGAGGGCGAAGGTGGTACTTCGGAGGTGAAGGGCGCTGTGTGGGTAACAAGGGAGAGTGTGGGGAAGATGACACGTACCTGGTGATGGTGGAATACGGCACTGGTGTTGACATCATCACTCGCTGGTAGTCAAGTTGTCTGGTTGCTGCTCATTGCTGTAGTTGTAGGATAGGCTGTAGAGTAGATAGGGCGCCTGGCGCCATTCACAAGAGAGAGCTACATTTGGGTTATGCTGTTGGTGTTGCCCTGTTGGGCATGGACATTGACTCGCGATTCTTCTGTATCATTCTCAATGGGATGGTTACTCGGTTCCATGTGCTATCTGCTTTGGCTTTGAATACTTGGACTTCAGTGTGATTTTGCATTCTGGATTTCTGTGCTTCGTCCATACTCATGTTCCTTGGACAGGCAACTGTTGATGACAAACAGATCATGGGATCTAATCTGGATGGATGTGGTAGTGTGAGGACCTTCACCCATTTTTTTGTCAGAAAAAGGAGCAAAGAGGTGCAACAAATGTGTGCTTGAGCTTGGATAATCTGCTGCCTACGGGGCATACAATTGGGCTTTGGCTTGAAATCAGTACAAACGTCTCCAAAGCCTGTATAGCCTTTGTTGGTATTCACTTGCACACTTATCCTCCACTTTTCTCTCTCTTTGACTCTCTGACTCTTTGACTCTTTAACTCTCTCACTCTCACTCTCACTGTCACTCTCACTCTCACTCTCACTCTCACTCTCACTCTCACTCTCACTCTCTCACTCTCTCACTCTGTCAGTCACTATTGGTCTCTCACTCTCGCTTTCGTTCGCTCTCGCTCTCGCTCAATCTGCTGCCGGTTTCATGGTGGTCGGCAGTAGCCTGCAAACCGTGAGAGGGGTGTAAGTGGGAGCTCATTATAGTCCATATTGCTCACCAAATCCCTCACCTGTGATTGTGCTAGGGTGGGGTCGGCTTAGGCTAGAGGAGGTGTCATTCTCTTAGAGTAGGATGGGCTAGGGAGAGAGGTAGTGAGACAAGAAGGGGGGGGAGGGTAGTGAGCGGCAGCCTACTTCAAAACAGATGTAAGGTAGGATATATTGGGAGTCTTCTGGATATATTTCGAAGACTACATCACTTCATGCTGCAACTGCCTTCTCCTCGTTGTCCCCCATGGAGAAAAGACACAAACAACCAAGGCATTTGCGGTTCTGGTTGTGATTATGTAGTTCTGTGAGTTAGCGTTTGAGTTTGTTCTTTGGTTCCCTGCTGTGCCTGGTGGTGTGCTCAACAATGATGTGACTATCAGTAGATCTGGCCGTGCATTGTTGGCTTGAAATGGGTGCTTTTTGGTTTGACCTTCTTGTCCCTGGCTTTGGTGGCTATGATGGCTGTGATGGCTATGTTGGCTAGGCCCTGGGCGGCTATGATGGCTATGATGGCTACAGTGGCCATGGCGGCGACGGCTATGATTACTATGGTGGCTAGGATGGCTACACTGGCTACAGTGGGTATGGTGGCTAAGGTGGCTATGGCGGCTATGTGAGCATGGTGGCTATGGTGACTGTGGTGGCTATGATGGCTAGGGCCGCCATGATGGCTATGATGGCTATGATGGCTACGGCGGCTATTATGGCTAGGATTGCTATGGTGGCTATGGTGGCTTTGGCGGCTATGTGAATGTGGTGGGTATTGTGGTGGTGGAGATAGTGGGTATGGTGGCTGTGGCGGCTGTGGTGGCTATGGTAGCTATGGTGGCGGGCAGGACAACATTGCCATGTGCTGCCACTTCTCACACACTGGGGAATTTTTTCTTTCGCTTCTCTCTCTCTCTCTCTCTCTCTCTCTCTCTCTCTCTCTCTCTCTCTCTCCAGCTCGAAATCACAGAGTCCCTCTGTCCTTTAGTTCCTCTTCAGCCTGTTCAGAAGCAAACAAAGATTCCCTCTTGACCCCTGTTTAGAAGCAAACAAACATTCGTCTTAGATGTGTCTGACCATAATCGAGACCAGATTCAGCCTCTAAGACGAATGTTTCTCCACTGTTTATAAACTTGGGTTTTTAGAAAAGGAGAAGA